GCAGGCAACCTCCTATAGCCAAGCAGCAGTCCCATGCAGGGTTCTGGGGTACCCTCCCTGAGCTTCCTGCTCTGCCTGGACTGGTCCTCCTTTTCATTGACATTCGGGGAAGGCTTATCTGAACAGTGGGACCCCAAGATGTGGGGCAGCCCGAGGGCTGTTCACGGCTATCCCTTTCTGCCCCAAGCCAGTCCCAACTTGTGGTAGGGGATTAAGAAAACCACAGGGAGCGCTTCCAATGCCTGGAACCTGTTATGGGTTGAATTGTGTCCCCTAAAGTTTATATGTTGAAGTCCTAACCTCCAGTACCTGAGAACGCGATCTTATTTGGGAATAGGGTCATTGCACACATAATTAATTAAGACGAACGAGGTCATCTAGTCTCCTAAACTGTCAGACAAATTTCTGTTTAAGGGGCCCAGTTTGGAATAGTACTGTTAGGGCAGCCTTAGCGAATTACTACTGAACCCATGCTGGGTTGCACCCCGGCTCTGGGTGCCCTCCAGAGGGTACTTAGAAAACATTTTGTGAGATGCTCCAAATGCATGGAAGCCACATGAGACCACAGCTATGCCCAGAGCATCTTCCTAGGCTTCCTTGGCCAGACATGACCCATGCCCAGGACACTAATGAGATTCAGAAAAATTTCCAGAAAGCCCATCGGACAACCAGGCCTCATGCAGGATAGTGGCTGGGCCCAGTGAACTTTCCCAGGGTATCCTTAGCATGTTCAGGCTGGAGACTTAGAAAATTTGGAACAGGGGCGCCTGGGTGGCTCAGTCGTTAAGCGTCTGCCTTCGGCTCAGGTCATGATCCCAGGGTCGTGGGATCGAGCCCCGCATCGGGCTCCCTGCTCTGCGGGAAGCCTGCTTCTCCCTCTCCCACTCCCCCCTGCTTGTGTTCCCTCTCTCGCTGTGTCTCTCTCTGTCAAATAAATAAATAAAATCTTCAAAAAAAATTAAAAAAAAAAAAAGTTTGGAACATACTGAAGTTGGCCCCCCATTGGACCATGGCTGGCTGGGGTCCCCCTCTTATCCCTCTCCACCCAGCCCAAGCCAGTCCCAGACTCCAAAGAGGAACTAAGAAAACTTCTGGGAGGCACCCTCTGTGACCATGACCTATGGTGGACGGAGGCCTAGCCTTGGGTGCCCTCTGCAAGCCTGCCAGGCTGTCCAGGAATGGGAAATGTCTTTGTGAGCTGAGTCAGATCACCAGGGCTAACATGGGGCCTGGCAACACAGACCGATGCTTCTACCAGTCGGGCTTAACACACTTAGGGGGTGCCTCCAACAAGCAGGCCCTTCAGAGCTCCGCGTTCTTGTCCAGGGTGCCCTCACAGTGCATCCGTAATGGGCCCAAGACAGTGCCTCCCCTCCAGCAAGGGGAATCGGAAACCCTTTCAGGAAGTGCATGAGACAGCCGTGACCTCTCGCATCCCTGTGGCCAGACCTGGATGTCTTCCCCAGTCATCACTGACTCTAGACAAGCTGATTCTCCACCATTGGTTTAGAAGGCATCTCGTCTCCCCTGGGCAGGATGGAGGACCCGAGCACCCCAAAAACACTTCTACCAACTACTGGGCCCAATCTGGGCTGTGGACAGGATCTGGGCACCCTCCCTTGGCCTCCCTGTCTGGCGGGCTTGTTACCATGGTGAGAGACTTAGAAAAATTTTCAGGAGGTGCATCCAGTGAACCCACACGTGACTGCTCTTCGCCTCGTGTAGGGAGTTGACTTGGGGCCTTCCTTTCCTCTGGAAACATTTTCAGAAGGGATAGGTAGTGACTGGAATCCCACTGAGGACAGCTGCCTGCCAGAAGCAACCTCCTCAAGCCTCCCTCGCAGCCCTCAAAGGATTCAGCCTTCCGAGGGAGACTTAGAAAACTTTTTGGAAGGCCCACACCCCCAGGGCATCCTAGTCACACCTTCCTGACTGGCCAGAGCCAGTGCCCCACCCCTACCTTGGAAACACTTCCAGCAAGTGATAAAAAAAAAATTTTTTTTTAAGATTTTATTTATTTATTTGACAGAGGGCAAGTGAGCACAAGCAGGGGAAGTGGCAGAGGGAGAGGGAGAAGCAGGCTCCCCACTGAGCAGGGAGCCAGAGGCTGGGCTCAATCCCAGGACCCCAGGATCATGACCTGAGCCACCCAGGAGCCCCTTCAGCAAGTGATTCAGATTACCAAGTCCCCGCTGGAGACGGCCACCAGGTCCAATGAGCCCACCCCTGGATGACTGTTTGGCCCAGGATGGACGCTGCCACCGCAGGGAGACATCTGAAGATCTGGGGGAAGTGTTCAAGAACAGGCCCCACTGGGAGTGCAGTTGGGCACAGAGTGCCCTCCCTGGGCCTCCCCGCCCCCTCTTCAGAAGGGGAAATTTCAGGATGCACACCCGCGACCCTGCCCCATGCAGGACTGCAGCCAAGTGAGGGGAATGCTCCCAGGCTTTCCTGGCCATGATCCCGGCCTCTGGAGGGAGAACCTAGAAACCAGGCACCAGGATCCCCTCCGCCCCCCACCGGACTCTCTACCCCATTACCTGCAACATCTCAAGGGAGTCCCCATGGGCGGAGGGGACCGCCGTGTGTCAGCCCATCCGTGCAGTTCCTGGATGTCGCTCTCCTCTGTATGGCAGTGACAATCTCAGGGGAGCCCATCCGGAGGCAGCGTGTGTCGCAGCCAGGACAACATTGCAGCCAGCCTCCTGGAACTCAGCCTTGCTTTTGATAGTTGGATCCCATTCCAGGCCCGCACAGCCGAGCTCCGGGGACGACATTAAAACAGCCGCCAGGTGGCGCAGTTCAACAAGCGCGACCTAGATGAACCTGGACCCCCAGGTGCCACTTTGCGTGGGTCTCACCCTTGGCCCACAGCGGCCGAGGAGTAGCCTGATGGGCCCAGGGCACCATCCACGGAACTCCCGGGGTGGCCTGGGCTGCTCTCAGCTCCCAGAGTACAATTCAGACATTTTCACTAGGTGCTCCCTGTGACTAGACCCTATCTGAGAGTGGCCCTCCATGGGCCTCCCTGGCCATCTCAGCTCAGTCTCATCCCCCCTCCCCCCGCCCCCAGCACAGGAAGGCTGCTGGGCCCAGGACACCCTCCCCAGTGCGGCCTTCCTGTAGAGGAGTTAGAAACATTTTCCAGTGGCATATGTGGTGAATAGGGCCTACATGTGACCGCGGCTGGGCCTGGAACACTCTCCCTGGGCCTCCCTGGATGGCTAGGGCTGCTTGCCTCATCCAGAGGGAGACATAGAATGAAGAGGGGGAGGAGGAGTGCATTCAGCCACTGGGTGGTCCTGACCTCCAGAAAAGGGCATAGAGACTTCGGGAAATGCTCCCAACAACCGGGACCCAAGAGTGAAAACACCTGAGGCCACGGCATCCTTCATGGGTTTACTTGTCCAGCGCAGGCCATTCGGTGTCTTCCCTTTGGATGGGGATGTGGATACGTTCTCAGGAGGCACCACCAGATGGGTCCAATACCAGGGCCCACACAGAAGCACAGCCTGGCCCTGGGCACACCCCGCCCCGCCGAGTCTCTCTAGCTAGCCTGTGCTTGTCTCCATCACCAGAGAACAGCTACAGAGGTTCACAGGGGTATATCGAACAATCGGGCACCATGTGGGACTGCAGGAGGACCCAGGGCAACTTTCATGAGTCTCCTTGGCCAGCCAGGACAGTGCCTGCCTCTGGAGGAAGATTTACATGTTTTCAGGAGATCCCATGGACTACCAGGCCAAAGATGTCATCCCTAGGGGGCACTACCTGGCCAGTTTTTTCCCTGCCACCAGAGGAATACTTATAAGCAAATTTGTTGGGCACCTTCTAAGATCGGATCCTACACAGGGCAGCAGATGCCCCTGGGGCACAATCCCGACTACCTGCCTGGTTTTGCTGCCTTTCCCTTCCAGAGGGAAAGGGGAAAAAAAAAATTGTATTTATTTGAGAGAGAGAGCAAGAGAGAGCACAAGCAGGGGAAAGGACAGAGGGAGAAGCAGACTCCCCACTGAGCAGGAAGCCTGACACGGGGCTCCATCCTAGGACGCTGGGATCATGACCCGAGCCGAAGGCAGCCCTTTGACTGAGCCACCCAGGTGCCCTGGAGGGAAACTTTAAAAAGTTTCTGAGAGGTGCATCCAGTGATTAGACTCCATACAGAATGGCAACTCGCCTGAGATTCCCTCCTTGGGCCTCTCTGGTCCATCTCTTTATGGAGAGACTTAGAGAAAATTTCAAGAGGCACATCCAGCACCCAGGCCCCATCTGGGACCTTATTTAGGCCCCTGGTGCCCTCCCCAGAGGTTCTAGTTGCCCAGGCTCATGCCTGCCACCCCAAGAGGGACTTAAAAATTTTTTCTGGAGGTGCATCTGACAATCAGGGGTGCATAGGTCCAAACATGGGCTGCAGGTCAGCCTGGGATGCCCCCCTGACCTCCATGCACCTTTAAGGCACCTGCATAAGGCTGTCCTGACCGGAGGGGAAGTCACTCACTTTCAAGTCTAAACCACCAGTTTCTTCCCAAAGTGTCCTTCCTCCATAACAGACCCCAGAGCACACCAGGCGTGCCAGGCTCTCTGCCTGTCTCCTGGGAGCCCAGCAGCTCTAGCCCACCTGTCCAAGGCCTCACTTTGGAACCTGGCTCCTGTTCCACCCCCTTCACCAGGACCCTAGACTCCTTGCCTTCAGAGCCTGGCTCCCCCAAGGCCAGGTCTGGAAGGCCCCAGGGTACATCTGGTTCTCTGGGCCTATATCCCATGCAGGCCCACTCTTGGTAGCTTCTAGAGACAGCTGTACCACAGCCTGAGTGGACGAAGGAGTGAAGGAGGAGTGGAAGACCGTGGTGGATGAAGTGGGGTGTGGACGGTGTAGTCTGGTGTGACCTCCCTGCAAGGCCTCAGGGCAAGAGTCAAATAGTGTTTGCTGACCTTTCTAGGCCATAAATGAAATCCCTCTCCAAAAACAAACAAAAAACAAAGCCCCACTCAGTCACACCTTGGCCCAAGTCTTGGTAGTGGCATTTTAATGGCTTTTGTTGGTGGCAGCAGCAGCAGCAGGAGGAGGGGGAGAGTGTGCCTGCCCCCAGCATGTCTAGCCATGCTCTTTCCACTGGACCAAGGCCAGGAAGGTGCGGATTTCCATGGGCTGCAGCGTGATGGCGGCAGGGTCCAGCCGGGAGGGAGAGGGCTGGGCTGTGGGGCCTGGGGAGGTGCAAAGGAGAAGTGAGGGGTGCCAACTTCCTCTGCCTCACCCCCTCCTCCTGCTCCTTCCCCTCGGCCTCCACACAGCCATATACCCTCAAATCTATCCCCAGGGCCTTATTCCCAGACCCGTTTTAAACTGTCTCCCAGGCCCTGAATACTATCCCCAGATCCCCCAATCTGTCCCCAGTGTTGGGCCATCTCCCTCACACCCTCAAGCCCTATCTAAAGACCATCATGCCAATCCCAGGAGTGATGCGCACAGCCCTCTCCCCAGAACTAGATACCCAGGGAATCCCATCTCAAACCCTCAAGACCCACTGCTAGTTTGCTTAGACCCACTTAAGACCCTTAACCCCCTAACCTGGATCTGAACACCGCCCTAGACGCTGGAGCTCTATCCCGGTCCTGGCCAACATTCCCACACCTCCCACACAGCCCCCAGCCCCCAACTCCCCGGGCAGGCCCCCACCCGTGGCTGGCGTCCACTTGAGCCTGGAAGCGCTGGCCCGGAGCTGGTTGGCCGCCAGCGTGGTCTCCTGCAGGTAGGTGATGGTGAAGGCGGAGAACAGGTCCTGTAGGCAGTGGATGGGCCGGGCTGAGTGGGGACAAAGCAGGGTTTCCCCTCTCCCTTGTCTCCTTCCCACTTCTGCCCTCCTCACCCTCAAATCCAAGGTCACCGGGGAGCTCAGGTTGCCAGAGCCCTCCCCTACAGCGAACTGGTGCTCCAAGCGCAGGAGAAGCGTTGTCCTGTCCCAGCGGGCCAGTGTGAGCAGATGCACCGAGGGAGGCAGCTCCCGGCGGAGCCCTGAGAACTGCAGGAAGGGGGTGGGGCCGAGGCGCGGTTAGGAGGCGGGGCTCGGACACAAGGGGCGTGGCTTCGTCAGGGAGGGAAGAGGCTCAGCTAGAAAGGGTCGGGCTAAGCCAATGAGAGGATGGGACAGACCCAGGGAAGGGCGGTGCCAGGCTGGGGGCGGGCCCGAGCCCGGAAGGGGCAGACCTGATCTGGCCGGAGACCCACTGATAGGGCGGGGCTGAAGCTCAGGGGGCGTGGCTAGGGGCGGGGCCGAGCGTGGGGAAGTGGAGGCGAGAGGGTGGGGCCCAGTGAGCCGTGAGCCCGCCGGAGGGCAGAGCTCTGAGGCTGCGCTAAGACCCAGTCGTGGCGGGATGGGACTCAGCAAGCGGGGACTGCCGGGCGACGGGGCTGAGCTGAGGGGGTGGGACTAGCTTATGGCCTCCCCAGGACGAGTTAGGGGCGGGCGGAGTGGGTCCCGCCTAAGGCCAGGAAAACCCTCCGTGGTTCACTGGGGTCTTCTCCACCTGGGGGCTCCACGCCCCTCACCTGCTTGCGCGGGGCGACTCCCGGGTGGTAGGGGGCGCCGCCACCGGGGGCCAGCACCACCTGCGGGGCCAGCAGCTCTTTCTCTGCCTGCAACCGGTGCCTGGTGGCCGCGGTCGGAGCCTTGTCCAGCAGCACGAGGTGGCGCCCTCGCACCCACAGCCCCAACCCCTCCTCCAGCAGCGGCTCCCCTACTCCACGTCCATCGTCTTTCAGAAGCCTTCGGTGCACCTGTGGGGAGTGGCCAGGAGAGGGTGAGGAGTCCCCCTGGCCGATTTCTGGGCCAGAAATTTGGGTAAGGGCTTGTGGAAATTTCAAGAGAAACTAAAGAGTGAGAAGAATGGATGCGGAGAAAGGTCTAGTAGGGGACCGCCAGCAGAAGTGGGGATCCAACCTAGCAAGGGACTAGGACAGAGGGAGGAAAGGATCTAACGGGATAGGGCAAGTCAGGGCCTGGAGGAAATGGGGAGCTAGGTAGGGACTGAACAAAAGCTTGGAGTAAACTTTCCACATAGGAATGGAGGTCTCAGCTTAGTGGGGACTACAGGCAGTGGGGTGCGCCTAGCAGAGAACTGAGCAGAAACAGGCTTTCAAGGCCCAGTAGGGGGCCAGGGTGGGAACAGGCTGAAACAGGGCTCTGGCCACTCACCATGAGCTCCATGGAGCCATCCTTCAGGCTGCTGCCCCCCTGGGAGCGGTCAGTCAGCACAGTCAGCTGCATCTTGCCATCCTGGGCGTTGGGGGGGTGAGGGGAGAGTGAGGGGTCCCATAGCCAGCCAGCTATGGCCCCCAGACAGGTATCACAGGGGATGGTGGAGACCACCAAGGACAACCAAGAGATGCTAGGAATGATGGCGACCCCCACTCTGTGGAGGGGTGCTAAGAAATGGGGAGCAGGATGGAGTTGTTACCCTGATGTAAATGCGGCTGTTGACTGGATAGTAATTGCCTGCCACTGGCTCAGTCTGGTTCAGCTTCCAGGTGGGTCGATAATCCCGCCTGGGGAGGGGGAGGGTTTGGTCAGGCCTGGGGTCCAGCTCCCCTTTCCCGGTCTATCCATTCCTCACTCCCCCTTCATCCCCTCCCTCCCACACTCAGAGGATCAGCAGATGCCCCCACAAGCCTGGGCCCCACACACCACAGACCACTCTTTACTGCCCCCAGTCACCCCACCTCCTCTCCAGGATCTCCCGGCCATTGCTGTCTGTGTAGAACAGTCCTTTTGTCTCCAGCACTGTGTCAAAGCGACTGATGATCTCCTTCCCCCAGCCGTCACTGGACCCGAGGGGATAGCAAGATTGTGAGCTTCACCTATCCCACCCTGCCCTTGCCCCCACCCCCCAAGTCCCAGTGGGTGCTACTCACCCCACAGGTATTGGTCCCACTGTCCACTCCAGCTCCAGGTGCCGCTGTCCTGGGTACAGACGAATCACCTGGGAACACCAGGCTGAGAAGTTCTGGTGCACCTCCTGCACCAAGGGTGTCTGTGGGCACATGGGGGCGGGGGGTAAGTCTAAGCCTGCACCTGCACACCGGCAAGCCCTGCGGATACCCACCCCTGCTATTAACCTCACAGAGGCCTACATCCAGGTCAACTCCACTCATAGCATGGGAACCTCCCCCACACTTCCCATGTCAGATGTTAACACATAATTCTTAAGTGTAGCATATATGCTTGCTGTCCGCCGTTACCCCATCTTCCCTCCTTAGAACAGGATTCTAGCTTGGCAAGTGGCTACCTGGAATAAAGACTATATTGTCCAGTCTTCCCTGAGGCTATCAGTAGCTGTGTAACCATGGTTTGCTCAATGGAAAATGATCAAAGAGGCGTACACAATGTTCCTTGCCTCTTTCCTTCTCCCACTGGCTCAAATGCAAATATGACGGCTGGAGCTTAAGCAGCCATATTGGGCCATGAGGTAGAAGCTGAATGTTAAGGAGGGCAGAACAATGAGACAGAAGAGGCCTGGATGACTCTGAAGTCACTCCATCTGCCCTGTATGGCCCAGCCAGACTTTCTGTTAGATGGAAAGAAACGTCTACCATTAATTTTGGCAACTGTTACTGTAGCAAAATTATATCCTAATGCAGTGACCCACATATGCAGAAGTTCACCTCAAGGGGAATTATGTTGAATGTGAATCTTGCCATTACCTGGCCCACTCCTACCCTAAGAGGAAATGTCAATGAGAGGCCCCGAGAAACCCCACAAGGGTGAGCCCCTGTTCCCAGCCAGATGCACCCTCAGATATCCATCCTAAGTGAGAATCACCCAAGCCCTATCCAAGTGTGAACTCTCAAATATCCACCTCAGATAGAATCCCCTCCTACCACAGATCCTTGGTGAACTCTTCAAGCAGCTACACCTGGTTCTCCCCATTCACGGGCCAAGAGGGAACACCCCACCCCCAGTTTCAAAAGCTAAGTATAATCCTGACACCCACAGCAGATGTGAAAGCCTTCGTACTTGCTCCCACGGAATGACTTACTCAACCAGCTGTGAATATCAGCCCTGTGGGAAGATTCTCAATATTCCCCTCAGGTCTTAGCCCTCTTATCTGATAGAGATATAAACCCGACCCCCCGCCCCTACCCACATATGGCTCACCACCTCCCAGGCTCCACACCTCCCCCACACCCACGCATCATTCAAGGCCCCAGACCTTCACCACGTGCGTTTGAGCCCAGTGGCTCACGATCAATGGTTCCTGGCGGTTGGGTCTGAAGATGTAGGCACCCGAGACCTGGGTGCTTAGATTGTCGCCTACACTGGCGTTGTACCTGGGGCCGGGGCAGGTGAGAGTCAGGTAAGTGACCCCAGCTCTACTTACACCCCCTCCCTGGCCTGGTGGTCCCCCCCTCACCAGTAGAAGGCTTGGCGAACAGGCAGCAGGAGGTTCTGGTCCAGGTTCTCCAACTCCACTAAGAGTCCCGTGTCAGGGTCAAACCTAGCCTGGAGGTACTGGGTAGAAAAGGGCAGACACAGGTTAATAACCATCATCTCAGCCAAGGGCAGCTTCTTCATCCTTCCTGGGACTCAGGAGAAAGCCCAGGAGCTACCCTCCCCTCCTCCTGCTCCTCTCTCTCTCTCTCTCTCTCTCTCCTCACACCTGACCCTATTAACAAATCCTAACAGCTCTACCTTCCACCTTCTCCTCAATCTGACCACTTCTCACCATTTCCATGGCCTTCTAGGACTAGTGCGGCAGACCCCTTCCAGGCTCGCTTCCCCAGTCAGTTCCCCCCCGCCCGCGGCCACCAGAGGGCGCCAGTGACACCCTAAATACCATCCTAGCCAGTCAGCTTGGGCCCAGGGCTGACTCGCGCATTTGACAAAGGAATCATAGTGCCATGGCCCAGGAGACTTTTAGGGGCCAATGGAAATATGTAAATTTTGATTTCTTCTAGAATCAGAAGAAAACTTAAATGTAATAATAATGAATATATTATACTCGTTTTTTACAGCCACCTGCTCATTAAATACAATTTTTAACTTTTTTTTTTTCTAATGGAAAAAGGGCCCCACAAAGGCAAAAGTGCTAGGGCCCATTACAGTCTTAATGCAACCTTGCTCCTGACGTGGCTCCTTCGAAGTAAAAGGCAAAGTCTTTCCCTTAGGCCCTCAAGTCTTGCAGAGTCTGACCTGTCACCCAATACCCGTCCCTTGAGCCCCAGGGGGTTCCTGGAACACTCAGCACCCTTCTGCCTGAGGGCTCTTGTTTCTGCAGCTCCCTGCCTGCCTGGATCCCTCTTCCCCTACATGGCCACGTGGCTCCCTCCCTCAAATCTCTGCCCTGCCTCATTTAATTTGCAAACCCCTACCACTGTCAGCCCTTACGTATCTGTCCAGTGTCATCCATGATTACACTGGGTCCTCACAGTCCCAGGAATGAATACTGAGGCTCAAAGGGAGGTGGTCACTTACTGGAGGACACATAACGAGGGACTGGTGACTAGACCATGAACCCAAGACCCACTGATCCAGAGTCCATGCAGCTTACCATGACACCTCAAATTTGTCACAGGGGAAGGGAAGGGCATCTGAACGGAGTCTCACCTCATTTTGGATGGCCAAGCCATGGGTCCAGGACTTCTGGGATCTGGGCTGGCGGTTGTGGGCATGGGGGCTCCGGCCGGGCACCTGAGTTACTGAGTAGACGCTGAAGCCCAGGGCAGGCACTGAGGCCGAGAAAAGCAGGTCCGAACTGTCTGAGCTAGGAAGTCTCACCACCTTGGGTAATGGAGGAGGGAAATTGAGTCAAGAGGCTATGAGTATAAATACTGAGCTGTACATAAAGGGATGGGTCAAACTCCAGAAGAATGAGCCCCAGATGGGGAGAAGAAATATAGGTGTTGGCCAGGGAGGATGGAGTGTCAAATTCTGAGTTAAAGATCGCAGAGAAGATTCATAAAGGGGGGGGACATTTAGGGGGTGCAGAGACTGTGGGAGAAGGGGAAGTGAGGGAAGAAATGGGGAAGGAAATCCCTGAAGCAGGGGAATGAGGGAAAGGCAGGTTTGGGGGGAGGAAAAGATTCATAGGTAGAGGCCTTCTAGAACAAGGGAAATAAAGCAAAAAAAAAAAAGAAAAAAAGAAAATTCGGGATGCCTGGATGGATCAGTTGGTAGAGCATGCCACTCAATCTCGGTGTTGTAAATTGGAGCCCCACATTGGATGTGGAGATTACTTAAAAAAATAAAATCTTTTAAAAAATATTAATCTTTTAAAAAATAAAATATATTTTTAAAGATTTTATTTATTTATTTGACAGAGAGAGACACAGGGAGACAGGGAACACAAGCAGTGGGAGAGGGAGAAGCAAGCTTCTCGCTGAGCAGGGAGCCCGATGCGGGGCTCCATCCCAGGACCCCAAGATCATGACCTGAGCTGAAAGCAGATGCTTAACGACTGAGCCACCCAGGTGCCCCAAAATAAAATATATTTTTTTATTTTTTATTTTTTTTTAAGATTTTATTTATTTATTTGACAGAGAGAGACACAGCGAGAGTGGGAACACAAGCAGGGGGAGTGGGAGAGGGAGAAGCAGGCCTCCCGCAGAGCAGGGAGCCCGATGCGGGACTCGATCCCAGGACCCTGGGATCATGACCTGAGCTGAAGGCAGTCGCTTAACCAACTGAGCCACCCAGGCGCCCAATAAAATATTTTTTAAAAAATTCATGAGGAGACATTAAAAAGGGAGAGATTGTCCGAGAGGCAAGACAGGGGGGTAAGGGGGAGCGCATGTTTCCAAGGGGGTACGATGTTAAGGGGAAGAAAAAGAAAAAGTACTAGGCCCAAGGTATTGATGGAGGGGGAGATATGCATGAGTTACCCGAGAGAGGGAGGTGCCCATGGGAGGAGTTATCCATGGAGGGAGATGTGTCCGTGGGGTGGGGTGAGGTGGGGGTAGAAATCCCCAGGAGGAGGTGTCCAAGGCAGGAGGTAATCATGGGGGGTGGTACTCATAGGAGAAATATTTGTTGAAAGGGCTTACATCGCTGGGCACAATTGTGCCATTCGGGTCCCTCACGTCGAAAATGTGGTCGCTGACTGGCAGCCGCACCATCCAATCCACTTTCCGCCCCAAGGGGTTATAAATGGTCACTTGGAACTGGTGTGGGAGGGCCAGATCGGTCATGGGTCGCAGCAGGCCTTCTTGAAACCCACCCACCACATGCGGCAACGTCCTTGGGTGATCCAAGCCCCCATGGGGTGCTTTGGTCTCTTCCACCCCAGCTTCACTGCCCCCCAAGTGATCGCTCCGCAGACCGATCCTCCCAACCAATTTCACACCGGCAGGTACCTCAAGAGCCCTTCAGTCCGAGCCCCGCCTCCCCCGGGCCCCGCCCCCGCTGTCCTCAGTTTCCAGTGCTGTCCCACCCACCTGCTTCCCGGCCCCGCCCCTCCAGCCCGAGCCCGGCTCACGCTCTTGGCTGTCTGGCTGAGCGGACAGACACTGATGTTGAGGTTGCGGCAGTACATGAAGTCCTCCTTGGAGCCGCTGAGCCGCGCGAGCGCATTGCTCAGGAGAACCTGTGGGAGGGAGCGTAAAAGTCCATGGGTCAGCTCTGGAGGCCCACCCAGGTCTCCTCCGTGTCTCCTCCCGGACCCCGCCCCTTGCCTGTCCCCGCCCACGAGCTCTCCTAGGCCCCGCCCCATCCTGTCTCCGCCTCTCACCCCAGGCCCCGCCCCATGCAGGCATACCTAGACTCCACCCCACTGTCCTTGGCCACGCCTCTTCCGGTGTCCGCCCTTTCATTCTACACCCGCCTCTTCCCGGCCCCGCCCCCTCCCTGGCTCCACCCCGCGCACCTCGCAGGGCCCCCAGCCTGCCGCTAGCTGGCGCGCGTAGTCATTGGCCACGTGCTGCCGGGACGTGCCGCTGACCGCGTCGTGATGCTGGAGCACCGCCATCGCCTCATCTGCAGGCAGACGGTGAACCGGCTGGGGTCTCTGCAGGACTCTCAGTCCAGACCCCAAGGACACGGGAAAGATCACGTGTGGGAGGGCAGGGTCCCGAGGAGTTTTATGAGGGGACTCGATGGGGTGGCCGAGGGTCGGTGTGGCCAGCTTCAGACACACTCCCGTCCCCTCATCGTCTCAACACCTACTGAGGGGTGCACTGTCTCCTGAGCCATAGGGTCCCACGTTGGCTGCCGGACCCGCCAGTGCCTCCAGCTGGTTGCACACCTGGGGAACAGAGGAGGTGTGTTGGGGCCCCGCACCTTTTGGGACCCCTGGGCGCCCCCTTGAGCCCAGTGCCCACTCACCTGCAGAAAGTTGTAGCTGAGGCGCTCATAGCGTTTGAGGGCCGGCCGGCTGGAAAAGTAGCCGGTCCAGAACTTGTGGGGGCCGTCGGCGTAGGGAAAGAAGTCATCCTGTTTTACGGACCTGCAGCGGCAGAGGCATTGAGGGCCGGGTCATGACCCAAAGGGCAGGCCAACCCCCCCAAGCTCCCATGTCCCCCCAAATACCAGGTGAGGTTGGCCTTGTTCAGCTCCCAGAGGTAACAGGCGGGAGTGGAGTAGAGAACATTGACGCGGCTCCCGTTGGCCTGCTGCTGGGGGGAGGTGTCCATGTGTGAGCCCTCGGGAGCCGGCACCTTCCCAGGGGGTCCCCAGCTGTGCACACACATCCTCACACACATGTGCGCACCTTCATGCATGCGGTGGGTTCGGATTCTTGTAGTACACATTTTGAGTGCAAACCAATGGCCCAGTGTGAGGCTGAATTTTGGCAGCAACTCAACATTACCAGCATGGAAAGAATTTCACCGATGTGAGAATAAACCTGAAATTTTTACTAAACTTTTTTTTTTAATTCCAATTTTATCATTAAAAATTTTTTGTGGGGGCGCCTGGGTGGCTCAGTTGGTTAAGCGTGGGACTCTTGATTTGGGCTCAGGTCATGATCTCAGGGTGGTGAGATAGGCCCTGCCTAAGGCTCTGTGTTCAGGAGGGAGTCTGCTTGAGATTCTCCCTCTCCCTCTGTTCCTCCCCCGCTCGTCTCCCCTCTCTAAATAAAGAAAGAAATAAAATCTTAAAAATTTTTTTGTGTGTGTGGAAAAACTAAGTATGACATTATAGGGCAGGAGTGATCATTTCTCAGGACTGTCAGGTTATTGCTCAATGACACCACTGTTAGAATGAATGGAGGTTCACTTTCAACTGAAGTGGAGGACCAAGAAGGTGACCTCCTCTGTGAAGAAAAAGATGTTTGTTCTGCTTGTGTTGTGAACCCAGTGCCCAGTACACAGTAGGTGCTTACTAAACACTTGAGTGCATGAAGGGAAGTAAATGGGACTACACACCTTTATGTGCATCCACATGTCTACCCCTGCATACACAGTCACATACATAGTTACACACACACACACACACACACAGGATTTGCTCAGTAAACAATCACTTGCTTCTTCAATATGCTCGATTTCAGACACAATCTAGAAGCAGAGGCCAGCCCCACTCTCCTGGAACCCACAGCCAAGTGGAGGAGAGATACTGAACAGATAGTCCGTTATAATCAGCCTGGCTGTGGCCTCACAGGTATTTGTGGGGACTGTGTGTACACAGAGGAAAGGGCAGGAGCTCCACCTGTGTTTGGTGAAGTCTTCCTGGAGGAGGAAACATTGCAGCTTGCGTGTTAAAGGAGAAGCAGGTGTTCAGCCCCAAATAACAGTAATAAGCAACCACCATAATACTGGTTATTTACCTGGCCCTGTTCTACTGATCTGTGTAAACGAACTCATTAAACCCTAACAGCCTTATCAGGTGGGAGCCACCATTATGCCCATTTTCTAGATAAGAAAACTAAGGCAGAGCGCTTAAGATTTCTCAGGGTCACAGAGCCACTAAGTGGCAAGCTAGGGATCTGAAGTAAGAGACTCTATTTCCAATAGAATGCAGTGGGCAGAGGAGCGGTCCGGGGCAGGAGGAAACCTATGGCAGCTCAGGACCATGATATTTACAGAAGAAAGTGATCAAGGTGTCCAGGGCTCCTCGGGGTCATGGGGAGCCCTGGGAAATGTCTTTTGGAAGGCCCTTGGTGATGTTCCTGAGGGTGTTTTGGGTGAAACGGTGCTGGGAGCAAGTGGAAGCTGAGGACATGGAGACTGCCAATAGACAGCTCTGAGGATGGAACTGATGGGAAGGACATTTCAGATGTGAGAGGCCCAAGGATGTCTGAGTCCTGATTCCCAGAACCTGTTAGGTTACATGGTAAAGGGAAATTAAGGCTGCAAATGGAGTTCAGGTTGCTGATAAGCTGACCTTAGAATAGATTATCCTAGATGATCTGTAGGGCCCAGTGTCATCACGGGTCTTTAAAAGAGGAAGGTGGGGGCACCTGGGTGGCTCAGTCAGTTAAGAGTCCAACCCTTATTTCGGCTCAGGTCATGATCTCAGCGGTTTGAGATCAAGCCCCGTGTCTGGCTCTACGCTTAGCGTAGAGTCTGCTTGAGATTCTCTCTCTCCCTCTCCCTCTGCCCCTCCCTGCCTTGCACTAGCACACACACTCTCTCTCTCCAAATAAATAATTTTTTTTAAAGATTTTTTTTATTTATTCATTTATTTGAGAGAGAGAGAGCACATGAGGGGGGGCGGTCAGAGGGAGAAGCGGACTCCCTGCTAAGCAGGGAGCCCGATGCGGGACTCGATCCCGGGACTCCGGGATCATGACCTGAGCCGAAGGCAGTCGCTTAACCAACTGAGCCACCCAGGCGCCCCAAATAAATAATTTTTTTAAAAAAGTAGAAGAGGAAAGAGCGAGTGAGAGTAAGAAAGAGATGTGATGAGAGACGCAAGGGCAGAGAGCGGCTGCGTGGCTGGCTTGCAAGATGCGGGACCATGAGTCAAGGAACGCAGGAGGCCTCTAGAAGTTGGACACTTTCGCCAAGAGCTTCCAAAAGGAACCCAGCCCTGCTGACATCTTGATTTTTAACCCAAACCCAATTTTTAACCCAACGCAAGTCGGAATTGTGTCCGACTTCTGGCCTACAAAACTGTAAGATAATATATTTCTGTTGTTTTCAGCCGCTATATTTGTTGGTCATTTGTTATAGTAGCAATAAAAAACTAAGAGAGCACCCACTGCGATGCATATGACCCAAGGGCCAGGGATCCAAGCACATTCATGCACACGAGTTGGCACACTTACCTGAGCGTTGACCAGCTCGATGAGCCGGTCAAGGTTCTTGAACCACATGTTGGCATTCTCATACTGGAAGTCTGAGCCCATGGTCATTATGGTGTGGTTGGTGCGGTAGTTCTGGCCCTGCAGGTGGAATGGAGAATTCCTCAGGCCAGGGTGTCCTGGGCCATCCCTGCGTACAGCTGTGTCGTGGTATATATGTGGTCAAGAGTGCAGGTGCTGGGGCGCCTGGGTGGCTCAGTCGTTAAGCGTCTGCCTTCGGCCCAGGTCATGATCTCAGGGTCCTACGGGGAGTCTGCTTCTCCCTCTCCCTCTGCCCCTCCACCCCTGCTTGTGTGCACTCACGCTCTCTCCCTCTCAAATAAATAAATAAAATCTTTAAAAATAATAAATCAATCTTTAAAAAACAAGTGTGGGTGCACGTAGAGGAGTGGAGGGGGCAGTGGAAGTGGGTCCTGTGGGAGCGTAGGGACACATGTAAAAATAGCCTCACACTGTTGAGTACTCGTGGGCCCAGATGAGGGCACTGAGGCACTGCACCATGCTGTCTCATGCCTTTGGTGAGCGTTTGGGGCAGCAAAGGTTGTCTGCAGTCTTCTAATCAGAAATGAACACAAATCTGGGAGGGGAGCCTGGCGATGGTGAATGGAATGCTACCTTCCTCCGAGGGTGATGAGGAGGTGTTAGGGAATGCCTGTGCCATGGAGAGGGCCCAGTGCATTATGAACACGAGTCTCACGGGCTCTGCACAGTAGGGTTACCTGGGCAGTGGCCAACTGCAGGAAGTAATCGACCAACTCCTTGGCATTGTACTCGGGGCTGCGTGGGTCCTCCACAAAGGGCTTGTCAGCACACAGCGTGTCCCAGCACAGTTTCTCCGGTGGGTTGTAAATATTGGGGAGCACACCTGCATGCCACACCAGGCTCAGCGTCCCAGACCTGCCCGGGGGTCAAAGCCTGCCACACCCCACCAGGAGGGACCTCAGAATTTGCAGGGCCCAGTGCAAAGTGCAAGTGCTGGGTCCTTGTTTGTAAATTATTAAGAGTTTCAGGACAACAGAGTATAAAAGCAAACCCAAGGCCCTCTGAGCATGGTCCCAGGTCCCATGCCCCTGGGGCCAGCCCTGACCCCAGCCCACACGCCCTTACTGGTAAAGAGGTCGGCTACTGGGGGCTCCAGGCTGGCGCTAGCCCGCCAAACCTGCTCCATCTCTTGCTTCTTCTTCCGCACCCCCTTATCTTGATAATCCAGACGCCCGAAGAAGAAGCCATCAAAGCCCATCTGGAGGTGGGGAGGGATGAGGACCGGGATCAGAGGGCAGGAGCAGTGGGTGCCCAGTCCTCTCCCCACCACCCGCCAGTCCCCTCAGCGTGGGAGGGGCAGTCAGAGCACAGTTAGAAGAAGCAGGTCTGAAACAAGGAAGGGCTCCAGCTCATTTTGAAGCTTGGGGAAGGGTCAGATGACACTGCGGGAGGGCTGGGAGGTGCGGGTGCAATGCTAGATCAGACTTCCACCTTCCCCAGCTTGGAAAGGGGCCTGATTCAAATCCCCCTTAAGCAGCCTGAGAATGGAAGGGATCAGAGAGTGGAAAGGGGACGCCATCATGGCAAAGGTTGTGAAGCCGGTTGAAAAGCTGGGCAGGCCTCCACCTGCCACCTGGCTTTGGAGATGAACCGGGATCATAGCAAATGGGGTGGGGCCAGGGCTACAGTGAGGGGCAGGTGTGGGGCCCGGGAGGAGCCAGCTGGAGTGGGGTCACATCCTGGGCGGAGGCAGAG